TGCTCTCTCTAATTCTCTCCAAAAGCTTAGTGCGATTAACGCATTTGAAATTTTTATTTTCAACAGATTTCATTCATTATGTGTCGCATTCGAACAGAGTATGTATTACATAAGAACAAAAGACATATTAGTAAATTTCGCGTATCGAGCCATCCTCGTATGTTACTATTTCGCCTTTAATGGAGAAGATAACAGTTCAGTGAATTGATAAAATTTATGTACTGGAAACAAGCATCAGTCCAAACGAATCAATACTGCTAACAATTCACCTAACTATCGTAATATACAAACAAAAAGTAAAAGCGAAGAGGAAAGACAACAAATAAAAAAATAAATTGTGAAAAAGGCCGTACGTAGCTTAAAACGAATTGCGAATACCATTATCAGTAGTTAAACACTTTCTTCGTGAGCTTAATACTCTTGCTCATAGGTCCTTAAGATTGATGGCAACATTTAGAAAACTAGGAAATTATGTCAGAATTTTTCGTCTCACAATAAACTCTCATGCCTTTCTTTGTAATTCATTCAATTGTGTTTCTTTTGGCCTAAAGATGCGAAACTTTTGTTAAATTCAACAAAATTTCTCTTCCATTTGCTAACCTGATGTATATGAAATTTGTAAACAACAATAACAGCCAGCGACGGTCAAATACATTTTTTGTGTTTAAGAGACCAAATAAATTCAAGCAAATGCCATCGAATCGAAAGTAGGGAAAATGTTGAGCATATATAAAAAAGAATACCTTCGTATGGAATTTAATTTTATAAAAATCCTTTCGGAATAGAGCAAAAAGCAAAAGATAGTTCTCTGGATATTTACATACAATGTTTATAGAAAAATTTTTCATAAAATATTGAATTTTATTATATGAAAAAAACAAATACACTTTGGTCATATTGCTGTAAGCCCGAAAAACCGCCTCGACCACAATCATGTTTTATCACAACTCGACAACGGTTTATTACGGAAACAGATATCTAAGGGAGGGTAAGGGAGTTTAACAAACACAGGACACAAAACAGGAACCCGTTAATGCTTGCTTTTCTTCGGTTTTTTTCTTCGCGCCTTTTTATTCGCTTGGAACATTGACTTTGTTACTTTGCCATTGCAATTAATATAACCCAAGCAGTGCAATAAATTTTAAACCACTGATTAATCCGGGTATTTACAGTCAGCATCAGCAGCATGGCACACACACATATTAGTAGTAATAATACATATAGGTAGTAATAAACTAACGCTAGTATTATTTACAGTATGTTTGACTCTGCATGCTCCATATAGTCTTTTAAAAGGAAGAGAAGATCAACGGAAAACAAAGTGAAAAATATTTGTAAATTTTCCTCTTCCGCACAAATTTAAATTTTCAAAATTTATTTCACTTCAATTCAGCGACAATTTTTAAATATCAGCTTAATTAGTCATATGATAAGAACGTTATAGTGTCTCTAGAGCTTCTACATGTAATAAAAAACACATGTGGCTAGTGAGTCATTCGGTTGTATTTTGTTTTTTGACCTGTTGTGTAATATAAGAGGAGCCTTTTTTTACCGTTCATCATTTACTTGTGATATTTAAAGTGAAAAGCATGTCAGTATGTAATGTATGTAATGTTCCTACTTGACAAAGTTGGTTTAGCAAATTTCGTTCCGGGAATTTGAGTCTCCAAGCAAGCGATTGATAAGGACGACCATCCAAGATCGATAATGATGTTTGACGATCCATGTTGGAAAATAATCCACATTTAACAAGTCGAGAAATTGCAGAAGAGTTGGGCATTCATCACCCAGTTGTTGGAGATCACATTAAATCTCTTGGGTTTGTGTTAAAGCAAAGTGTTTGTGTTCCACATGCATTAACGGAAAAGAATTTGTCGGATCGTGTAAGAATGTGTTCATCACATCTGATTAGACACAATGTGGAGCCGTTTTTGGACAAGCTGGTTACTGGAGATGAAAAGTAGATTCTTCACGAGAATATTGAGAGAAACTGCAAACCAGGAACATCATCAGCAACAGTTCCAAAACCAAGTATCGATCAACGAAAAGTACTGCTTTGTTTGTGGTGGGACAGGAAAGTTCCAGTACAGTACGAGTTGCTAAAATAGGGGAAAACAATTAATACGGATCTGTACTACAATCAGCTGGATAAATTGAATCAAAGAACAAAGGCCTGCATTAGCGTGTAGAAAAGGAAGACTGTTCCATCACGATAATGCTCGACCGCATCCTGCAATGGCGACATAACAAAAACCGAATGCGTTAGGATGGGGTGTCCTCAGTCAGCCACCGAATTCACCTGACATCGCGCCATCTGATTATTACGTGTTTAGATCTCTGCAAAATTATCCAACGGGAAAAAAAATTTAAGTCTTTTGAACGTGTTTCTAAGGCAGATGCTGACTATTTTAACTCCAAGGACGAGAACTCCTACAAAACAGGAATTCACAGATTACCTGTAAGATGGCAACAGGTTGTAACAAATAACGGAGCATATATTATAGATTAATATTAATCATGTATCTTTATAAATGAATTCAAATATTTTCTTTATAATACAACAGAACTTTCCCTCCAACCTAATAGAAGGCTAGTAAATTACTATGTACATTAAAATATCTAATAGAAGAGAAAAATGTATTGTTATAAAAGGGATTCGAAAAAGTGAGAGAAAGCTAAGAGCACGTTTGCGTTCCACACAGAAGCATGTGGGCGCAAGAGAATGCAGAGAGGACGCAAGGCAGATAAAGCCTGGTAATTCTTAATTCTGCGTTGCATTAGTTGCCCACGATACATGACTTGCTACTAAAGGAAGACATCGGCAGTGGCCGGATAACAGGGGACTAACAGGGAGAGTCCTTTTATGATTTGAGCCTGATATCGAAATAACACGGACGCACAGGAACGTTGAAGTTAATTTCACTTAACAGGGCTGGTTAATGTATGACTCCGCTACCGCAATAAACCTACGCTTCTCCAGTGAAGGTAGAGTTATTAACAGTGATCTGTTTTTATATGGCGGTAAAGAAGCTCAGGGGTCTCACCGCAAATTCCTTGATGCAAAAAGTAAACATTGATTTTCAAATAATTCAATGGCGTTTGTGTGGAAACGATAGAAAGGAGAAAATAGGGCGGAATTGAAGCCACACGAAAAAAAAGAAACCGTTAGTGTTACTTGGTAGAGCTTGGGATACTCTTAGCTGTAGAATTTATTTCCCCGATTTAAATAAATAATAAAAACAATAAAATATTCTTAGAAATATTTTGATGAGAAAAGCCTTCAAAATGTTTGATGCTTTTACTTGAACACGTGGCCGTTATATTCTACTATTGATTATTATAAGTTAAGGACCCGAAAAAAAGCCCTGTATTTGGGTACCATATTCTTTACCACGGAAGAATTTAATGCACCGAATATCTATCTACGATTTGCTGCTGAAGTTAAACGAAATGGAGCAATTTTTTGAGAAGAATGATATAGATAACGAAGAAGATGAGAAGATGACAAGCGGCTCGCATACGACATTAATGTGCAAGAAAGAAACGTAAAGTAATGAATTGTGTTTGATAAGATTGGAAGGCAATCGTCCGCTCTGAGTCGTTCTAATCTAGTCGGACGATTGATTTCAATCTCCACTTTTACGAACCAATGCGCCTAAAGCTCGCAATTGAGATAAGGCTTTCATAATTTACCAGTGGGAGAAGCGTTTTCTTCCATCTCTACTATGCCATACCATTCCATTCATGAGAGTTTGTCTGCAACTTTTTAATGTATTCACCGCACAGTATGTACATATTCTTCGCTTGCCAATTTTCAACTTTAATTTCAAAAATGCATGAATGAACATCAGTTGAGTTAGTTTTTCGCTCAGAAATCCTAGAACTGCTACAGCGATGTCGCAATGACTTTACCAGAAAAATAGCAAAAGGTTATTGGCGAAAAGGGCGCATATTTGATTTAAGAAAGTTGATTGAAAATATAAAAGAATGTGTTTGAATTTTGGCAAGAAAACCAATGGAACTTTCTTTTCCATATAAGTTGCAAGGAGCGAAAAGTTCTGCCGAGTAGTTAAGGTAGCCAAAGTTCCCTGGAAAAATTTATTTTCTTAAAATCGACTGGTAAACCTTAATATTTACAGAAACAGATGAGCAATTTGTTATCACATTTCAGTAAGAGTGGTAGCTTTGGAGGTAGATTGTTAACCGTCTCTAATTTTTCCCTTATGTAAAAGAAGTGACACGGGCGGGCGTCTAAATACTTCCTATAAAATTTATTATTACAAATTGTTTGGGTTGGTACGTTTCATTTTGTTATTTTTGACTCGGTGCTTAACCCTATGCTCCACATTGTGTGGCAGAGAAAAAGAGAAGCAAGACAAACTTTCCGCGACAAATCCGTATGCGATTGCTTCCCGCGCAAGAAGAGGAAACGAAAAATGCCGGTCCCGGATATATCCTTGGCGATGGGAACTCTCCATGAAGAAGCTATAGAAGGCATCGGATATGGGCATCTTGCAGACTTGTTTATAATAAGCGATTAGCTACCACGAAAATCGAAGATTTATCGCAGATTTATCAAGTTTAATAAAAAAGATGTAGACATCAAATGACAAACGTGCCTGTTTCGGGCATATAGCTTTCGCTGTCAAAAGTTGACTAAGCTAACCTTGCCAGATCTCGGTCCCATGCTCATTGTGATAATCCTCTTACAAATACTTAAGAGATTACCAACCAGAGATCTTAGACAAGTTGGTTTAACTTGGCACGCAAAGATGATGCGAGATTATATATATATATATATATATATATTAATATTTATATTTAGAGCTCGCTAACGCATTGGCAATGAAACTATACGACGTGCGCGTGAGAACATAAACGTCTTAGTATATTAATATAAATTTATATAATAACATTTATATTGATTAATACATATTATAGCGCACTTCTCGTATGTTTACTGTGAGCAGGTAAGAAAGGACGCAGCATTACTCTTCTCCTTAAATGTCAACTACTTGTCCAAAAAATTGTATGCCTTCCTGATCGGTTATCATAAATAGAAACGGTTGATTAATATCAAATACTGCTGGCGATAAGCGTAGATATGAGTAAATATTCCAAAACATAACCGCTAAGAAACCAAAAAAGGAAAAGAACATGAGATCGTTAAAAAGGATACTTTGAAAAAAATTGTGAACTTACTGGCGGTGTCGTATCTCCCAATTCCGTGTTCGTTGAATATTAAATCGCATGACTGCAGAATATTTGCATGACTTCCGAGATGTTCTGAGTAAATCTAATAAAAATTGAAAAAAAAAAGAAAATGCTTAAGGACGTCTCTCTTAAAGAGATAACTTGCTCAGCTTACTTCGTCGTAAAGCGATTTCAGATCCCATTCATAAAAAATATGAAATTTTGGCATTAAAACTCTTACGAGTTGCATTTTCATCACATTTCCGGTGCAAAAGTATAATAATTCAGGATTTTCGTAAAGCTTCCTTCTTACGGCACTTAAGTCCTGTAAATACTTTGGTAAAATAATGAAAAGTTTAATTGATTTAAATTGTAATGGCAATTCCAAGACATTGGCTTGTATGGGCTCAAGATAACCACTGCGGAAAATATCATCTTTACGCATAAAATCGACATGAATTTGTTTAATTTCCTTTGTATTATTCGCATTATTCGCATGATAAACTCCTTTATGTATATCGCGTGTTTGAAAATTAAATGACCATCTGGCTTTTAAGGTAATCGCTTGGCATAAATCTTTGCTGGATGTAAGCAGAGTAGTATTCCTTATGGGAAAATCACAGACGTTGTGTGTATCTATGTTGGGCGAAGATGTTTTAAGGAATCGGAATTTTTCGTTAATTTGAAGATTTTCATATAAATTTAAAGCTTGCGCAGGTGAAATAACAAAGTTTTCCCCCGTTGTTGTCTGCTGCAGTACACGTTGTATCACTTTTAAATGGGGATCTTTCACTTCTTCTCGACTGGCAGTAGTGGATTTGTTTTGATCAACTAGGAAACTAACTATAAAACACAATATAAAGTTTTCCTTTTTATTTATTATTTTTTATTTATTGACATTGATATGAAAGCAGACTTCTTTTACGCACCTAATAATAGAAAAATATTTTTTATTTCCATTATTATTATTATTATTATTATTTTTTTTTTTTTGATTAGAAAACGAAAGTAATTTAGTTCTGTTTAGTGAGAGGTTTTTAATTGACTAAATCATGTCAAATGTTTTTGTTTTATTTTTAAATTGTTTTAAACTTATAGATGAGATTCAAATGCTTGAAGGTAGCGGAGGTAGAGAGTGGTTGCTTAGCTTATCACCTCGTAAACGCAAATACGATTTCTGAACTTGAAACAATTGTTGAGAACAGTGTTTCAAATTTAACGAAGCTCTTATAGCAAAGCCAACAATAATCTCTTTTTTTTTAAATATTTATCAAAAATAACTTTTCATCCACCGAATATTTTTTTTTTTAAGTTTTATATTGATTTATATCTGAGTTTGTTTAAAATTCTAATCTAAAGCATCAACTTTAAGCAAACTATTCAGATTTTCCCAGTGGTTACAGCCGCATCTAAGCACGCATGTAAACGCTTTCAAATATTTACACACGCAAACGATGTGATTTTTACAATTTTCTGTTGAAGTCAATTTTGCCATTAAGAGAGCTCTTTACAGAGCAGAGAATACTGTATTTAGACAAGGCAAGTATGTGCAGCATGAATTTTTAAGCAGATCTCGGGGAATCTCGCCCATGAAATCATTCCTCGAGGGATCAGATCTCAGTTGCGTACAATATAGTTGGTCTTTAGCTCATGTGGATGTGAATGTTCAGGCGTTAAAATCATAACACTTGACAATGGAGAACACACATGCACTGATCTGCGGCAGCTCTTCATTTGTTTCTCTTTTCTTACTTCTTTCTGATCGCGCTACGCTTATAGGGGACATCGCCTGAGCGATTGCACATATTAAAGCAAGTGAAGACTATAGCGAAACGCGGCCCATGAAATAGCCTACATCGCCCTACAAATATTTATAAAGCATTTTTTTCAAAATAAGGCTCAGTCTACGAAATTTTCGAGTAGTAATTCATGTGATATCTACATGCTGAGCCTCCTTTGGCTCCAGCTTTATTCAAATAACGCTATGCCGTCTCTAGTTCCATAGCGAAGTCATAGGATGAGTAAGGGATTTCAATGATTCTATCAATAATTGATCATCGTGGCACGTTTTTCAAAGCGATAGGCATTTCCTTTCTTGTGATTTTGGTAAAGCACTTTCACTGTAAACATTATGGATTTCTTTACAAGCCCGCTAAACTTTGACTGAAGTGACATTATAAAATAAAGGGAATTTTTTGCAAACTTTGAATCATTTGCAAAACTCAGCCGCTTTCAACTAAATAAATGAGTGTTACGAATCTTTTTGCACTTATAAATTAGATTTAGTAGGTAGTGTTAGTATTTTCAAAAAACTAGGCGAGCTTCTAAAGCCATTTATTGGGGAAAACCTTGTGAACTTTTTTCTTAAGCCATTAAATTAATGAATAAAATTTATATCATTTACCCAAGAACGTGATAGTGGACTTGACTTTGTAAATATAAACCAAAAATGATCTAAAGATTATTACGGTTATGAAAAAAAAAAATGTTTTCATTACAATTTTCATTATTATTTTTTAAGTTTTACATTGGATTTGAACCGAATCGTTTGGTACTTATTTGTCGCTTGATATACTGCCACGATTTTTGCAGATTCTGCAGATATGCTTTCAAAATGCCAAGTCGATTTACTCATGTCCATGCGTCCATACTTATGGATTTTTGAACGCATCATCGAGGCTAAAATTAAAAAAGATAACCACAAATTTTTCCGTGTGCCAGCTTAGGCTCGCAAATCCTTTTCAAAACAGGAAATGTTTCCTTCACAAAAACACATACCGTAACTGAAATGTTAAAGAAAAAAACCAAAATTTCTTAATATTTCGCCCAAAAGATCGTTATAACCTGCGGAAGAGATCGTAACCCAGAGTCATGGCCTACTAGCTCTCAAGCTAATCAACGGTTAAGAGGATGTATAATTATTGGTAGTTATCTGTTAGCACATTGCGCTGAAGATTTTGACGCTGCTTATAGTGAAGACGTTCATTTCCGTTCCGTATATTTTAATTGTTGCATTGTTCTATAAGCGTAACATGCTATGTAAGAGTAACACGTCATATAAGCGTAAGCATACACCTCCACAACTCCAATTTAATGTTCTATGTAAGTGTAAGCATACACCCCTGTATCTCCAATGTAGCACATTGCTTTGTAGTGGTTAAGCGTAAGCATACACATTTGCAACTCCGACGTCGCATCTTTACTAGCGACGCAACGCATATGCTGACTACTACAGAGGACGTAACTTACTTAAGGTATAATAAACGCATATGCATATAATAAAACTAAGAAAAAGCTAACATCCTAACTATACAGTGAGGTAGATTTAGCGTTTTAACTTAGATCAGCTTATATGACTCACGAAACCATTTAGTTGGTTTTCAAATTAAATGTAGCGCGTGCAAGAGCTTAGAATAAACTTTAACATTTCAGTTAAATTTTCAAGTGAGAAGGTTACGCAAGCAAACCTGCTTCAATTGATTCTTCTATTCCCGCTTATCATATGTAAGGTCCTCCCAGCTCATTGCTCTATCCTTTATGTACTTTGAAGTAATTTAATATATCTACTCCAGGGATGATAATAAAACTTTTAGGTTTGTGTACTTTTGAATGAGCAGACGATTTTACTTTATTGTTATGCAATTTTAGCGAATTTTTAAACGCTTTTTATATTAAAAGACAATTTAATTATCCGCTTGTCTTCTGGAATTTGTTACAAAATTTGTTCTGCCTGTCGTCTGTTCTAGAATAATAAGTTAAACTGTCACAATCAGTCATTTTGGTAAATTTGTAAAGTTTTTCGTTAATTCAAGGGAGAAAGCAAAAAAAAAGAAAATGTATAATTTTTTTTTGTTACTTTTGTGATTTGTATTTTAAAAGTTTTGTCATCATAAAAACCACAGGAAAAAAGAAAAAGAAATTTTTGAAACAAATAACACAGATAGCATCAGTAACAAGTCGTTTTTTTAATTTCATTTTAAATTATTATAAAATATATCAAATGTCTTGCTTTGCTCCCCCCCCCCCCCCCCCCCTCCCTCTTTCTCCCCACCCACTCTGATGTAAAAATATCAAGTTTTTATGGGAAATTTCGCAACTCTATGAATGAACCCCTGGGCGACTTAATTTGTAAAAGAAACCACATTGCATATCTTTGCTTATCAGCCTAAAAAAGTAGAACTGTCATAAACAAATAAACAAAAGCACATGTCATAGGCAAAAGTGCTTGTTTTACCATCACTGCGCAATCAGTCCGTCTGCTTTAAGCAAATATGACAAAATGTTTATGATAAATTTGAATGATGTCCCGTTGAGTGCTGCTTGTTTTTCTTTTGCCTCTCAACAGAAGAGACACAAAAGAAACGAAACCAAAAAAAATTTATAAATGGTTTAAGGCGAATCTTAGATCATCAGTTACGTAAAAACACTTACTGTTTTATGATAGAAGATAACGTTACCTATTTATAAAAAATTTCAATACTCCCTCTCATTGGTTCAAACTCCATTGCTGGTTGAAGACTTGCTTTCAAAGGTATTGGTTATTTCAGAGAAGGAAATCGACTCAGACGTTCAATTTGATTAGAACAACCTTTTTACTCCGCAATATAAGCTTATGATGTACCCATCTCGTGCTTGTTCCGAAGGATTACTGATTTAGTTTAGCGTGTTAATGAATCACATTACTTTCTCGGCTGAAAAGGATATTGGATATTTTAATTCATTTTATTTCAAAGAGGAATATTTCTAATAGCCTTGATGTGGAGAAAGGAGAATAAATATTTTCTATATTTACATTCTAACAAGTGGTCGCTCATTTACTTCCCCGTTAAATTAACAAAATTCGAAGTTCGCTCATTTGCTTCTTCGCTAAAGTAACAAAATTCGAAGTTCGTTCATTTACTTCTCCTCTAAATTAACAAATTTGAAGTGCTCTTTTCTAAGTCGAAAATGGAATTAGAATTGTGTTATTACCAATTTAAACACACTCATAGAAAAGGACTACGTAAGAATTAGTTAATTGGAAACTTGCATTAGGTAAAGATTGCTTCACTTTTTTTTAAATTCTGCTGTACGGCATATACGTATAAAAATGAGTATGAGTGTAGTTTCGTAGTGAAAAAGTTATAAGGAAGATACGGTGTGGGCATAAAAATGCGTTGAAAGCTTGCTCAACCGTTAACATTGGCAAAGCTGCTTACAATTAACACTACTGCCAATATACAGTTTCTGGTCCCTGTGAGATGTATTTCGATTTGTAAGCGTATTAAGCGGCTCTTCTCGTAGATGGGTGCAAAAGACAAGTACAGATGCTGCAGAAACAATGCAAAAAGTCATGGCTGATGAATACAAGATTCATATTCTTTACTAAAGAAAGACACGAAATTTAATCAGGCTTTTGGCATTTGAGAAGCGATCTCAGAAACCATATCGAAAGTACTATTTCTCCAAAGAAGCAATTTCATAATGCAATAGTGATTGCTTATGTAGCATCGGATTGTGGCACCAGCAATATTTCGTCAAAAAATCTATGGCTATGGATAAAAGTACAGGAATGACAAAAAATACCTTAACTAAAACTAAAGTTAAAGATTGGACGCGAAATTGCTGCTCATTTCTTTTTATATAAGTAATTTAATGTAAAGAGCATTAAAATTAGATTAATTAAGAGTAAAAAAATAGCGATATAAAATAACGTATTGAGTGTAAGCAGAGCTAGTCTTAAGTGTTGTATTATAGGTCACAAGCTATACGGAAAGCCTTACTAGAAGAATTTTACTGAAAAAGCAACAGCGGATAAAATCAAATTCGACGGCATTCATCCGTCCACGTGACAGAAATATTTATTCTCTATTGGCGACACTGTCACAAACATTGTGCCAAAGTTCACATCATAAATGTTAGAAGTATTTCAGCTGTGCTTCAGCTTAGATAAGAGAGATACAAAAGCTGTAAGGTATTGGATTTTAAATGCCGTGTGTCTCCTAAAAATAGCTTAAGTATGCAAGTGTAAATGGATATAAACGTGATGAATCTAGTGAAACAAAGAGGTTGAAATAAGCGAAAACCCAATATTCCATTTAGACGGAGGATTTACACAACTATATTAATAGATGGCAGCATAAATAAATGATTACCTTTTTGAGGATATTTCTGAATGTTACAAACAAAGAGACGAAATTATTACACTCTTAACCATTACCTGCGGCCTATAAACAGTGGCAAATAAAGTAGGCCACAAAAATTAGAAACAACATAACTGTAGTAACCCAAAGGGAATAAAAGCACAAAAAAACAGAAATAATTTTACAATCGAAGAAGATTAATTGAAGAGGAACGAGCGTTAGAATCAAGAATAAAAAAAAAATAAAGAAATGACATAAATTCTCAAGAAAATTAAAGAGAATATATGAAAAAGAAAGAGTAATGATTAAATGCTTCAGGAGAAACTAATACATTTCTTACATATATTTAAAGAAAACTACACCAACTCCTTAATTGATTTTGTTGGAATTTTCTTTTTTCAAGCATTAGCAAAAAACGCTCAAAATTATCTTCTACTTTGTTGAACGCGGGAAGCAAATGTATGGGAATAAGAGAAACACTTACACACATGCACTGGCACACATATACATAAATTTTCACAGTGTGGCATGTGTTACTCTTCTTTCAAGGTAATATTTACTTTTCGTTACCGGTACGTGCAAATGCATCGAAATGCAAACAAAACGCACTGTTACAAACCAGTTAAGGAATAGGTAAAAATAAGATATTCGCATATTAGCACAGAAATGGTTTCACCATTATTTTCTCTGTTCGTTTTTTCGTCTTTTTTTTGCATTTTGTAAAAATGATTTCTTGTGAAGTAGCAACAAAAACTTTACTCCTGGAGACACATCATTAAGTTGAACTTAATGAGGTACTTCCTCTCTTTGGTTGGCGGAGAGAATTAGACGGTAGTATAAAATACTTGAAGATAGTGTGCATTCCTCAAATTACGTGCAAATGTAAAAAGGAAAAGAACAGAGAAAAAGGAAAGCAAATGTAATTTGAAAGATTTTGATGACGAAAGGATTGTAAGAAAGCATCGAGTGGAAGGAATATAAACGAGGTAATAAATCAAATTAAGCAATACTTTATGCCCATATATGCTTCTAATGAAGTTCAAAGCGTAACTAGTGTGTAAATAATTTTTCTTCAACTTTTTCCTTGTCCTTTGAAAAATTAATAATTAAGAAATCCCTTACATAAATATTTATTATCCTTAGTTAACCTTAGTTAGGTAAGCGCAAGACTTCTGTTAATTTGAATGCAAAGACGTAACTGCACATTTCCTATGACAAAGGGCGATGTTGGCTACTTGGGAAGGTTGCCATTAAATTAAAGTTTCAACTAAATTAATAATCATTACTAAATAGCTCCTAAAATAGTTTAATAGCGGAGATAACGGCGACAGAAACTGATTGTACTAAAATATGTGAAAGCATGGTTTAAAATCAGGCAGATAGATAGACAAACAAGCTTAAATCGCTTTACAAAGGAATTCTGAATTAATCGGTGGCTTCATCTTAAGTCCTTTTTGATGTCGCATGTATTCCCACAGAAGATGTAATGTATAAAAATTAAGACAAATCCATTTTTTTTAGAGAAAGTCTATCCGCCTAAAGTTGTTTTTGTCTTTGCGGTCGCCTTCACAAGAATTCATAAAGGAGTTAAAACTGTCAAATTTCAAATAATACTCTGATTTTTGTTGCAACGTTTTAAATTTTTAATATTTTTCTGTGAAATTCAATTTGTGCAAACTATGAGTAGATTTGTTTCTGGTTTGATAAATGTTAAAATACGCAATCGCTTTAAAATTACGAAGAAGTTAAGG